TATACAGTCAAATTTATTAGTTAAATATATAAAATACATATATAACACATGGGCTGAACAGTCCCGGGCCTAACAAAGAAAACACGGTTATTTCATTAAAAATTGACTTTATTCATCAACATAATCTCCACCAAGAGCAACACAATCATTCCAGCGCCGTTCTTGTAGAATGATTTATCTTTTGCCTCAAAATAGGCCTCATTTCACTGATAACCTCTTTATTCGAGCGAAATTTCTTGCCAGTGAGCATTTTTTTTCAATCTGCAAATAGCCAGTAATCGCTGGGAGCCAAATCTGGAAAATATGGTGGATGAGGAAGCAATTCGATCTTTAATTCGTGTAGTTTTGCCAATGTGTTTTTTGATTTGTGACACGGTGCGTTGTCTTGATGAAACAAAATTTTTTTTTTTGCCATATGCGGTCGTTTATTTGTAATTTCGACCTTTAAACGCTCCAATAACGCTATATAATATTGACTGTTAATGGTATTTACCTTCTCAAGGTAGTCGATGAATATTATACCTTGCTTATCCCAAAATACTGAGGCCATTACCTTTCCAGCTGACTGTTGTGTTTTCGGGCGCTTTGGACGAGGTTCCCCGGCTGCTGTCCACTCAGATGACGATTGTTTTGATTCAGAAGTGAAGTGATGGATCCATGTTTCACCCATAGTGATGTATCGACGCAAAAATTCCGGTTTATTACGTTTGAACATTTTGTGAATTTTTTCAATATTTTCTGGGGTTACTGCCTCATTTGGACGTCCACTGCGTTCTGCCTCATCTGTGTCTCTACGACCACGTTTGAATTCAGAATACCAACGTTTTATTGTTGTATCTGATGGAGCAGAGTCCCAATAACACTTCTCAAGCCATTTCTTTGCTTGAACGGTANCATAACAATTCTCAAGCCATTTCTTTGCCTGAACGGTATTTTTTCCCATCAAGAAGCAATGTAAAATTAATACACGAAATTGTTTTTGATCCATTTTTGAAATTTACAAAAGTAGCTTCACTCTTAGCACAATAGCTCACACACTAATGAACAGATTGTCATGAAAGTTTAACAGCTGACTTTTGTAGGTTAGTACCAACTAAAAATGAGATTAATTCCAAAAAAATAGCGCCCTCTATGTGTTAGGCCCTGGACTTTTCAGCCCATGTGTTATGATGTCATTGAAAAAAATTAATTTAATAGTCATTTAAGTTATAGAGAATTATTAAAAAAAATAATTATTATACATTATATTAATCAAGAATTATACGTAATTAAAAAAGTTTTTTTTCAATATTGCATTTATTCTGAGAGTAATCAAGTGGTTTATTACAAACTGATCACTCTGTATTGTTTATAAAAATGATTTATTTTAAAAATCATAAATTTTAACTTAAATATGTGAAAACTTGTTTAATACATTACTACTTTTGTAAATTGTATGGTTTGTTAAGTCAATAATACACTTTTACACCTTGGGGCACTCATTATCATTATCTTTGGATGTATCATTGTTATTCAGGACAAATATTTTAACGCTAGCCACTCGATTTCTTTTAAAATAATAATTACATTAAGAAAATTATTATTGTTATTAGCTTCGATGCGAAGCTGAGAAGGTATTGGTTTTACTAAGATGTTTTTTTTTTTTTTTTTTTTTTTTTTTTTTTTTTTTTGTGTCTGTTACCACTTTTTCTCAGCTCTCACCGAACCGATTTCTTTCAATGATACGTCAAAAGATCACAAATCGTATCTAGTCGAAGACATTACCCTTAAAAATTGAAAAAAATTTCCTCGTTCCCCGTAACTGGGGGAAACCTCCAAAAAAATTACAAATTTAAAAATCGCTAATTTTCGATATTTTTTCAATTTTTTTGACTTAAAAGTGCCATAACTTTTTCAAAAATGAACATATCAATATAATTTTTTTTTATATAGATGCATAATATCATTACCTTTCATTTGGTATATTTTTTTCATAAATTTAACCCTTAACCTGCCCACAAGGGGGGATTTAAAATGACAACTTTTTCACAAAAAATTAATTTTTTTAACTTAAATTTTGAAAATGTTCCGGAAGGTCTGACACTTTTATATATATCTTAAATTAAAGCTAATGTAATATACTTTATCATGAAAAAAAAAAATTTCGGACTTTATCTTATCTTCATGGTGAAAATGGCTACCGAATGCTATTTTTGTGTGAAAATTTTCGATTTTGTATTTTCCATTTTTAACTTTATTATGCTATAACTTTTTGAAAAATGTATGAATCATTACAATTTTTTTATGAGAAGTAGTATTTATATAGATCTTTCATTCGACATACTGTTTTTTTAAATCGGACCATTTCCCTTAATATAGGGGGGATTCAAAACATAAAAATGCATATAGAAAATAGAACTTTTTCAACTTAACTTTTGGAAGTGTTCCAGAAGATCTGACACTTTTATATATATCTTAAATTAAAGCTAATGTAATATACTTTATCATGGTAAAAAAAAATTTCGGACTTTATTTTATCTTCATGGTGAAAACAGACATTAAACTTAATAAAAAAAATACGATTTTTGTAAAAAAATTCTTTTTTATATTTTTAACTTTATAATGCTATAACTTTTTGAAAGATGTATGGATCAATATAATTCTTTTTTTTTAGATGCATGATGTTTTTACCTATCATTTGGTATATTTTATTATAAATCTGACTTTTTACCTGCCTACAAGGGGGGATTCAAAATGACAACTTTTTCACAAAAAATTTACTTTTTTAACTTAATTTTTTAAAGTGTTCCGGAAAGTCTGACACTTTTATATCTATCTTAAATTAAAGCTAATGTAATGTTCTTTATTATGCAAAAAAAAAATTTCGGACTTTATCTTATCTTCATGGTGAAAATAGCTACCAAATGCTATTATTGTGTGAAAATTCTCGATTTTATTTTTTACATTTTTAACTTTATAATGATATAACTTATTGAAAAGTGTATTGATCAGTATAATTTTTTTATGGGAAATTCTATTTTTTAATAATCCCTTTTTCATTTGACATAATTTATCTTAATCAGGATATTAATAAGGAACTAGCAGTTTATGAAGCTTTTGGTATAATCCACCAATTTTTTAAAATTAAACACTATCTAAAGATTTGCATCGAAGCGTTTTTTTTTATAATGATTTTAATCACTGTCAGATATCATTATTGTTGTGACCGCGTTGGTACGGTAGACAAAATGAAAAGATAATGCGTTTGATAATTAGTTGCTATTTATTATATTTAAAAATACATTTACACTTATAATTGACTTTAATGAGTTGATACTTAATTAATATAAAAGATTCAGTGAACAAGTTAACATAAAAGATTCAGTGAGCAAATTAACATAAAAGATTTAGTGAGCAAATTAACAAAAGATTCAGTGAAAGTGATTCAGTGGAGAGTCGTCCAGGTTCGACCCTATGAACTATATGACTCTTGAACTAGTAGCTGACTACTACTGGCGCGTCGCCTTAGGCGGCGGCGGCTGTAGGCCCAATACATTGAAAAGGGCTGAGCAAGCATCGAATGTTCTAGAAAGACTAGATGCTTGCCTGGTAAATACTTTATATACAAGACAAAAGAGGTTTCCGTTCCCATGATTAATATATATACTATTAATTTACACAATTACAATTAGGCAGCAAAAAGCCAGTTCACAACATTATACTTGATCCAACTATGCCATGTCACCACTGCGCTGGGTTTTTTAATTTTTACATACATATTAGGGCAGTTCTTAAAAATAAATTTTTGAAATTCATTCAATATACTCACTGAAATAGATTTATTAGTTTAAAAATTAATTTATACAATATTTGATTGAAATTGAGTGACAATAACGCGTTTTGCAAGAGGGTTAAAAATTCGACTGTAAAAGTAGTTTTACAATTTTTGTCACTTATCTTACAAAATATATTATTTATAGAAAAAATTATAGAATTTAATTTATAGAACTAATCGTTTTTAATAAAAAAATGTTTTTAGCGAAAATGTCGTATATATAATACTTGGGTATGTAATTAAAAAAACTACATATTTTCATATTTTTTTTCTGCAATTCTAATTATATCCATCTTCATACTATCCCAGTTTTTTTTCCAATATCAAATTCATCTAAATTCCTTTTGAATCCTTTTGTTATATTTTGGTTTTTTAGTTTTCTAATGCACCATTTCATATTTTTTATTACTTTAGTTTTTTTCTTAAATTTGATGTTGAAATATGCCGTCACAAGATTATGGTCACCTTTGATGTCATATTCTGAGTAGGCATAGCTAGATTTGATTTGATTTCTGAACCTAGTTTTTATGAGTATGATATCTATTTGATACCAAATCTCCAGGCGTTTTCCATGTTCTCCATAGCGAGACTTCAAGGTATGTATCTGTTACTATCAGTTCCTGTTATTCACAAAACTCTATTTCCATGTCCCTATTCTAAAATCTGTTTAGTCTTTCCACAATTTTTTTTCGCTGAATGACGACCTGAGTAGCCTTGGATCTATTCCTTCCGGACCTTGGTGTCTGAATTCTATGATCAGAAGATCTCTATTCATTTTTATTGTACATCATTTAGTTAGTAACTCAATAAGCAAATAATTTAATTTTTAAATGTACAAAAAAAAAGTGTAATATCTGCATTTTCCAATAATTTGGGTAAATAATAAAAGAGCTATTATGTTTTAATATTCATAATTTAATATATAAATCATTATGTGGTAATTAAATGAATTATTAAATAATGATCCACAAAAATAATGTAAATTAAATAAAAAAAAAAAAATTTGTAAGATACTCATTTCTAACATATTTTTAGTTTATAGGTTATAAGTACCCTGTATTTTTAGAAACTATGCGACACTTAATAATTTTATTTATTCTTAACTTTATACAAAGAATGACATAATGTTTTAAATTTACAAAAACAGTTATCTTAAAACATATATAAATTCAAGTTTAATGACGTTAAATTAATAAGTAGTAGTCTTTTATTTTATTCAAGGAAACAATATATTCATTTTAGTAAAGCAATAATAATTATTTTATAATACTAGAAGATGATTAAATTTACATTGTATTTTACTAGTGTTCTGTTGAGTTTTATTGGTACAGTATGTTTTTCTCTAATAACTTTATTACATATGTTGCTATTTATGTATTGGAAATATTTAATAATTAATAATAGATAAATTAGTATAGTTAGACACAAAAAAATATATAACACTGCTACATTAATATTATCAAAATAAAAGCCTTCACATAAAATAACAAATTAAAAACTTAATTTGAATAACCTCATTCTTTTATTCTTACAAACATTTTTAAATAATTTAATCATAAAATAAATTCAATTATTTTACAGATCAATCACAAATGAATGGATGGTGTTTTATGGAGGATGTTTTTGTAAACATAACACCAATATGTAATTAAAAATAACTTTAATATCCAGTTATTCTTTTATTTTTTCAAACATTTTAATTATTGCATTAAAATTTACAATTTATACAATTTTGTAAAATAAGTATCATAAATAATTAGGTATATAAATTAATTTAGTCAGTTATGAGAACATTTCTTAATCAGTTCAGTTTTGTGTGAATTTGATATGGAATTATTTAGTATTGTAAGTTTTACTGAGAATACGAACTACGTAATATTGAAGTTTTAAATTTGAGTAATGATAACTGGGAATTTTTCTTATAAGTTTGAAAAAAAATTTACAAAATTTGAATTTTATATGGCATGATGATTAACACGGAACACTCTAAACTCAAACTTTAATGATATTGTAAAAATTTCAATTTTAAAGTGTCGTATAAATTTTTGTATGGTCAAAAGTTTTTTGTAAAATTAAAAAAATCAGATATAAGTAACATTTGGTAAAAATTGTTAAATATTAATTTAAAAAAACAGTTGTGTATAACTAAAACTTTGGAATATCTTTATTTATTTTTAAGTAAACATATATAATTTTGCTTATATTGACCTTTTCAAACTAAAGAAAATGACGAAAACATTATATTTTTCGGAAAAATATTTCAAAAGTATTAATAATATAATTATTTAGATTATTAATAGAGTACCATCTCAGCTTCGCATCGAAGCTAAACTAATAAATAAAATAAGCTAAATTAATTTTTTTTTTTTTTACTTTAATGACAATAATTACAATAATGAGAGTAATGTTTAAATTAAAGGTGTTTTAAATAAATTAAATAAGCTTACAATGTCATAGTAATTGTAAATGTTCTTTTTGTCGCCTAAGGATATCTATATCTGTAATATTTAATTGTCCGATACAATATAAAATAGTAAGTCAATTTTAAAGTAAAATATAATTATAAGAAAATACACGTCTGTAGTAAGAATTATTTTTGTGTTTCATCTCTTGTAATGATATTATATAAACCCTCTATTAATTTAACGTCTCTTTCCGAAGAATTGTTAACAACTTTTAGTTATTCAATATTTTATACTTCTTGGTAAGTATTGGAGTTAATCTGAGAATAATGGATATGTAGCGCGAAGGGAGTATGTGTTATTTATACACACTAGGACCAGTATCCACTCATTGTATTAAGATGCTTGTAACTCGATATGTACTAAACTTAAATTGTTACCGACCCATCAAAAATTTAAAAAAAAATAAAAACCAATAAAAGAACGATTATTTTAAAATTTAAAAATATATAAAAATGTGCATTAACGTAGTCTGAAAAATGTGAAAACTGTTAACAATATGTTAAAACGAAATAATCATTGAATCATTGTAAAAATGAATAAGACTTTATAATAAAATAAGACTTTTGTTTTAGACCTTTTCTACTCCATTTATATTTAAAACAAATGTATTTATACACATGGTAAACTCTTATAAAGGAATACTATTTTACGAAAATGTTTCTGATAATTACTATAACAGTTAAAATGAAATTAATTTTAAAATAATAACTAAACTGTATATCACTCAATCTATGTTATAATTTTGTAATTTTAATTTATAAAACACTATACGTATTATTATGGTTCATTTTAAAAAACTTACCACTTATTGTTATTTTATTCACTATTAATTTATTTAAAAGATATTTAAATTATTAATATTATTTTAAACTTATGGTAAGGCGGGATAAGATGGTAAAGTTAAGCTTCTACGATCTTTTTTGACTTCTGCAAATGAATTTAAAATCTTAAATTTGCATGAAATTTACCACTAATATAGATTATCCCTCAAATTGTTTAAATTGCCTCTCTCGACTTTTTATGAGCGAAATATGTATCAAAAGAATTTCGTAAGCAGAATATTAAGCTCAGATCGAGAACGATCCTAAAACAGTGATGACCAGCATCATTAATAATCTTTAAGAATCAAACATATTAATATATATTTTGACATTTATAATATAATATCAATTTTACCTAATAATTTCATTTTCAGGTGACCCAAATGAAGATACAATAAACAGTAATTAGAAATTTATTACTATATATATATATAAGTTATATTATATAAATGATAAAATAAATAATTTAAATTAAATTATGATTTTTTATTTTACTGTTACCATACAATCGTTTCTAAATTTGTATTAAAAATTAATTATCATTTTATCGTTAATTAACATTTTTTAACTGTTAAATTTATAGACGATCCAGCAGATATATCAAATGGTAACATACGTATATTTATTTATCTAATCAAATTTATTAAAAGACTAATTTGTAGCTCTATAGAACTGTGATTTTCATACACTTGCAAACATTAATTAGCCTGCAAATTTACAATAAAAACCATATCATTAACATATTTGATAAAAAATGTTTAGATGGCTAAATTTTTTTATAAATAGTTCTATTTTTGGTACCTAAGGAAGTTGGAGTGTGAACGAGAAAGTTTACATCATTTTCTATTTTATAAGCCAATTTAATACATATTTTTCCGTTTAAGGAATAAAATATAAAATAAAGTAGTCATGTATATGATAATAGTGCAATTTATTAAATGTTTAATTAATAGATAATGCAGTAAATACTTCAGAAGGTAATGGAAAATATACATGTATTTATTCATTTAATTGCAATAAATATAATAAATAATTTATTTTGGTACCTAAGGATGAGAAAGTTTACATCATTTTCTATTTTATAAGCTAATTTAATACATATTTTTCCGTTTAAGGAATAAAATATGAAATAAAGTAGTTATGCATATAATAATNTTCTATTTTATAAGCCAATTTAATACATATTTTTCCGTTTAAGGAATAAAATATAAACTAAAGTAGTCATGTATATGATAATAGTGAAATTTATTAACTGTTTAATTTATAGATAATACAGTAAATAATTCAGAAGGTAATGGAAAATATGCATATATTTATTTATTTAATTACAATAAATTTGATGAATAAATTATTTTGGTGATATCAAAATTTATTTAGATAATAGTAACATATTTCATTACCGATTTCCGGTTAAAATGTCATAACTTTTATTATTTACAGTCGTAAAAAATTAACTAATGATAACAACTATTGTCAATTCAATCATCAATATCAAAGAGATATTTGGTTTAACTTTAATAATCCAAATTACCTAAATACTTTTAACATGCAGTGTTTGTATAGATTTATTATGTCATATTTGCCAACAAGAGACAAACTCAGTTACCATCTCCCCCTGTGGTCACATTGTAGGAAACTATTGCGCAAATAAATTCTCAAGAGGTGACGTAGATTGTCCTTTTTGTATTCGAAAGATTGAAAATTTTGAAAACTTATGTAGGTAACATTAATCATATGTATTTAAGTTAACTCTTTAATTTACACTATTTTGGAAAAATGATAAATGACTAATTTTTAAAAATTCTATATTTTTAGATACTTTGACAGATCATGAATTTGAAAAACAAAGCCCGTTCCGATTACGTGTCCTCACTGAAAACGAAACAAATAATTTAAAGTCTAAAATTCGGAATGGCATGACTGACGAGGAATTTATGGCACGTTTTTGGTACCTTCGACGTTGCCAAGAACCTGCTAAATCTTTGCTGTTGGACATTAAACATCATATTATAACTGATGAGGATCGTATATATATCGCGGAACTAAAAGGGAAACTTTTGTCTGGCGAAATTTCAGAAATTGATGTGTACAAAAATCATTATAAACAAGAGTTAAATCATTTAGAATCTATTATGCTATGGGCATTTTATAAAGAATTCCAAAAAACTTATATACAATACGAATTAAATATACGAAAGAATTACCTTGATTTCGTATATACGTAATTATTTATAGATTTCCTAAAATAGTTTTCATGTAAAACATTTACACAAAAATTTTTTAACTATGTAGTTTAAGATTTATTGGTTTGTTGCTTATCAATGTGTAATGTTTCATCGATGAATAAAAAACTTATTAAACAAAAATGTAAAAGTAACAAAAAAAAATATTCATTGTTTGTATTATCAATAAATCGATGTAATGCAAAGATTTTATGTTTTTTTTTATTTTATTAATTTTTTAAGATTCTTAGTGAAGATGTTTATTGTATTATTATTTATTTGTAATTATTTTTTGTCGCGAAATACGAAAATAATTAATTATTTTATATAAAATAATGTTTGGTTTGAATAGAACACTCAAAACTCTTCCTATGCACATTCCCTACAACTAAATTATGATACTTCTTTACATAATTAAAAGTTATTAAATATAATACTTACTAGACATTATCCTAATTCAGCATTGAACAAACTATGGCAA